GGTCCAGACTCGATTAATTACAGAACGTCGTCATATAGCTGGAATATTGCTGATTGCGGCGTAAAACTAAACTCACTCACTCACTGACCTGCAACAGAAGATGATACTGCAGTGTCTGTGACTGCAGCAGCGTATGTAATGTTTGATTGAGGTCATTGTATCTAGCTTTTTCTTGACAAGGCATGATATATTTTTTTGTCACATTTGAGTTTCATTAATTTTTATTCCTTCAGCCACACATGGTAAGATTTGGATGATGCATAATATGGGCCATAACAGTTAAATTCTTTCTTGCAGTTCGAGTTCTCGTGGCTGTCACGGAAACGATGACGAATCACAGAACAACTACAAGAATTTGACTCATGACCGAACTTCTGACATGTATAGCTTTGATTTGACTGGGGACGTACATTTGTACACTTCCACTCCGATATTGAAATAACCTGATTTAATTGGCTGTGGCAAGGATGAACAACTTATTTATTATTAAAATGATCGCCACTTGTGTGGAGGCACTAACGCCGTTATTAAGCAAGTGATCAAGCAAGAAATTACACAAGAACGTTGCTCATATTAATAATGAAGAAGTTGTATGTCCATAGAGCTCTCCCCCGTTGTTCATCACACCAAATTCTAAATGCCACTAATAGCAGTGTACGAACAAACATCACGATACAGGTGTTGGTTTTCGTGACGATGCCCTCTTCTTACTGCAGCTCTGTCCAGTGTAACAGTCTCATATTTATTGCAACTCACTCACACTTTTGCGGAGTACAATGCAGAAACTTAATCAATTATGAAATAATCAATTCCTCGAGTGCGTCGTAAAACTAAACTCACCCAAATCCACTCTCATAGATTCAAATATGATTCAACTGTGGCTCCATTTTAACTGTTCTGTTTCCTGTTCAAAAGGATTAATATGTAGAAGTATTTGGCAACTTTTATTGAATGATATCAGCACATAGATATACCTGATACTTGGCCAAAGTCCTTATCTCAATTTTAAAAGTATGAGCAGAACTTGCAGTTGATATGCATAACAGATATCAGCAAAAGTAGAACCGTGATTCGAAAGGGTGCCAAATTCCTGTCTAAATGTCTTATGTACTGGCTTGAGAGAGATGATATTAAATGCAGCATTTCACAAACTATTTTCAATTGTAAACTACATTATCAGAGTTACCAGTTTGAGTTAATATTTGTGGCATAAATGGTGCTTTTGTGAGTTATGCTTTTGTGAGTGAGTGAGTTAAAATTTTAAGTCACATCGGAGGTATTTAAGCCATATCGTGACTATATCAAGTTACATGTATATGTCTATCATAATTATGAGTAATTGTGAAAAACATTTGTCAACGAAGGGCAGTAAAACAGCTAGTTTATGACAGATAAAACTTTAAAAACTAGTAAGTAAATCTAAAATATTTTGACGATAAATGACAATACAATATAAAAACAGGCTATAGATTGCCAACAACTGAAGGTAGATTACCATACTAGGGACCATGATGACTTTTGTGACGGAACAAAATTATGAATACATAATTGCCTACAGATACGGAGGAGCGTTGGGAGGAAAAACTGCAGATATTCTATAAGGGCATGGATGTATTTTGTCTGTCTGTTTTGTACATATGAGTTTAGTGAGTTTAGTTTTACGCCGCTTTTAGCAATATTACAGCAATATCACGGCGGGGGACACCAGAAATGGGCTTCACATGTTGTACCCATGGGGATCGAACCCGGATCGTCGGCATGACGAGCGAACGCTTTAACCACTAGGCTATCCCACCGCCCTATCATTGTCTGAACTGATTTGAGTGAATGTTAATGTATGTAATGTCAGTACCAAATCCACCGCATCATTCGCCTGCTGCAGGTCTTAATGCGTTAAAACTATACATGGGTCGTGATTACAACGTCCCTATCAATTGATATTATACCAATTTGCTTTTGTAATTTGAACTGGACGGAACATAAGTAAACTTTCCAAAAGAGGTGAACTACAGTACCTTATCAGATGAACTTTAACCATAAGTATATTTTAGTCGAATTAGTTGTCGCTGAATGTATAAAAATATCCGGTGTTTATAAATGGCACATATCGTCGTTCTGCCTTCCGACACTGGGACGTAATATGAGACAATGTCAGATAATCTACTTTCTGACACAATGTTAATGAAACCAGGTTGAGACATGTGATGGTCGAATGGTTAATTATCTGTCGACCTTACATTTTCAGGATGTAACAATAGACGAATGTCTGAAAATAGTGACGAGCGTTAATGTAGTACGATGACTACACTGTAATTGTATCTAAGGTTGGTTGATCAGTTGTAGGGAACTGACGATTTCACCTTTAGTGCACAATATCAGACATCACTCTATGGTACAACTACATAAGATGGTCCAATGTCATTTCATCAGGGGATAATTTCTGACTCGTACAGATACAAATGGGAAGGAGTGAGTGAGTGAGTTGGGTTTTACGCCGCTTTTAGCAATATTCCGGCAATATCATGGCGAGGGGCAAAAGAAATGGCTTCACACATTGTACCCATGTGGGGAATCGAACCCGGGCATTCGTTGTGACGAACAAACGCCTTAGCCACTAGGCTACCCCACCGCCCCACAAATGGGAAAGAGGGCAAATTGGGTCCATATAATCAAACCCATATTTGAGTGAGTTAAGCTTTACGCCGCACTATTCCAGCTATATGGCGGCGGTCTGTAGATAATCGAGTCTGGACCAGACAACCCAGTGATCAACAGCATGAGCATCAATCTGCGCAATTGGGAACCGATGACATGTGTCAACCAAGTCAGCGAGCCTGACCACCCGATCCAATTATTCGCCGCTTAAGACAAGCATGTGTTCCTGAAGATCAATAGTCTAACCCGGACCTTCATGGGTCCCATATTTGAACAGATCGAACGAGAACTGCTGATTTCACCTTTATTGCACGATATCAGACATCACTCTACCGACTGTTCAAGTAAAACTGCATTAGCAAAGTCCCATTTTCTGCCACAAGAAGACAAGTTGGGTCCATAGGATCAAACACAAATGTGGACAGACCTATAAATGGCCGATGGATAATGGTCCGAAGGATCCCCACATGGTAATCTAATCTCATTTTATAATGGTAGGGCCTCTCGTTGTAAATGAGTCCAGGTGCAACGTACGCAAGTAGAAGGTACACACAACCTGTAGCCACATGCAGTAAATCGATAATGAAATCGATTCCACTAGTGCCGGTTTATTTGTAAGGTCGGTGTGATCTTTGTGTGAATGGTGGCACATGGAAATTACAGTCTTGGGTATGTCATGTTAAGTTGGTGGTCTTATGTGAGAGGTTTTTTCGATATTAGGGATGGATTCATTCCTGTCATTGATAACGGAGTAGCAGTTGGCGCACCTGTATGAAGCATCCCCAGATTGTGAGTAACTTAGAAATTAATGTGACATCGCCGGTATTTCAGCCATATTATGACGAGACAAATCAATACATATATAACTCATGATCATGTATAAATTGTATAAAGTCATGTTGTCAAAGAACAGTAAAATAACCAGATTATCACATATTTGTAAGGCTCAAGAAAATTAAATGATAAAACTAAGAATTAGCGATACGAGATATAAAGTGGCAAGAGGTCGCCAGCAACGGAAGTTAGGTTACTCAATTAGGGGCCATGGGAGCTTACGAGACCTTTGCTTCATGCACGGTTCCCAAGCAGAATGTATACAATGTAAAATTTGGAAATGGCCTCAACTTGCGTTCCATAAAAATAGGCTTTACTGACCCTTTTGATGTTGTGACCTTGATCGAATAACCTCTGAGCAGGATGTGTACATGACGCTCTTGGAAATTCTTTTAAAGTATGATTGGCTGTACCTCAAAAGTTCAGCACTGGTCTCCTGAATTGAGACAAACAGAAAATTCAGTTTCAGAAGCGAATTTTCTGTTTGTCAAAACAGTGGATTATTTTCGACTATGTACACACCCCCATGGGTGCCAATCATGCTCTCGTTACAGGTCCGTTTCTTTATGCATGTGAGTTATTAAATGTCAGCTCGTCTTGGCAACGTTTGAGCTTAGTTATATGATCTGTTATCGTTATTGTTCAAATAGCAGATTCTTTTCCACCGAATCCAACTCCTTACCAATTCAGGAGACCAGTGCTAACACTTCATATCTTGATCCACATGGAGGTGAGCACAACTGATGCTTATAGGGGATGCCTATAAATTTCTCTTCTAAATGGTTTTCCCCAGACGTTTTATGTGGAGGTTAATCAGTGAGGTAGTCCAGTATTTAAGTTGTTTTCCACAACTTTCATTTTTGACGTTTTCTCTTGAATCTCTGAAGACAGATAATTTGTAACTATGTGCATCCCAGTTTCATTTACAGAATGAATCATGGATCAAGAAATGATGATTGTCATGCGGGATAACGGTTTGCAATCTTCAATCAAACTGGGATACGATGACATGTTTCAGCCAAGTCAGTGAGCCTGATCACCCGATCCCGTTAGTGGCCTCTTCGGACAAGCATGGGCTACTGAAGATCATGAATACTGGGTTCCCGAAATGATTGAATTTTGGTACCATATTACCATTATTTACGGCAGGTAAATGGTCAGCTAGTAAGTAAGGAGTCACACATGGGAGTGAGTGAGTGAGTTTAGTTTTACGCCGCACTCAGCATTATTCCAGATGTATGTCAGCAGTATGTAAATATTCGAGTCTGGACCGGACAATCCAGTGACCAACAATATGAGCAATTGGGCACATATGGAACACTATGGGATGTTTTTGAAATCTTTCAGTGTAAACTTTGTGAGAATAGTTGCACATGAGAATTATGACCTTGGGTACATGACACGATATACTTTCCTTAGATAATAAAGCAAGGCTATCTCAACACAAACTCGAATCTGCATCTTTTTAACTGAAGTGAACTGTTGGCGCACCTGTGAGTAGTATCTTCAGACTGTGTCTGTTTGTGCTTGTATGAACCACACTATTCCAGTTTCTGTTGGTGGACATTGGATAATCGAGTCTGGACTGGTCATCGAGTGACATGAGCTACGGACAACGCTGGGGTATGGCGACATACTAAAACCATGATATCCATGATTGCCAGATGCATGATGTGACTTCTCACGGTCATTTCTAATTTGGGATCCTATCGGTAAGTGTGGGCATGGGGGTTAGGAACGGTGTTGAAACTTACAGCGTCAACCTTAAAAGACCCACCATGTTTAGTCAATTTGAAGAAAATAACCCTCAATGTAAACATGGTGTCTTCTGTATGAATACGTAACCGGGGAAGTGCGTGGATGTATTTTCGGGGTGAGAACGTTTATTCCCGTTTTCTATCAACACTCACATCACCACATATCAGACTTGTAGATTCCTGGTTTAGAATATTCAGCCACATGTGCTTGTAAGGGAGAGTTATTAGTATTGGATGGTTGGTTGGTAGTTCATCACTCAATGTTAGCGTGGGAGGGCGATCCGGGTTAGAATTGACCTTCAGTAACCCATGTCAACGATGGAGAATAATTGTTCTCGAGTATCAACAAAACAGATTCCATTGGGTGTAAAAGCCAAATTAAGGTTGCACATTAGACACATGGAACACTAACAACAAGTCTTGACGCTGTGTGTGTTCGCACAAACGGTAATCATGTCCTGCTGTACGTTTGTACCCGGAATATCCGGGTTAGAATTGATCTTCAGTAACCCATGCTTGTCGTAAGCGGCGACTGAAGGGATCGGGTGGTCAGGCTCGCTGACTTGTTTGACACGTCATCGGTCATTTATCAGATCCACCATTACTGGTTCCAGGACTATTTCATCCAGAAAGGTTTCAAATTTGAATAGGAGAAACAAATACAATTTCAATAGCTCAACAGGTGTCAAAATGTAAGAAATTCATGACATTTTCGATGTCCTTTCGTTATTGATAAACCCGTGAAGATCCGGGTTAGAATTGATCATCAGTGACCCATGCTTGTCGTAAGAGGCGACTGAAGGGATCGGGTGGTCAGGCTCGCTGACTTTGTTCACGCATGTCATCGTATCTCCATTGCGTAAATAGATGCTCATGCTGTTGATCACTGGATTTTCTGATCCAGACTCAATTATATACAGACCGCTGCCACATTGCTGGAATATTGCTGGGTGCGGCGTTAAACAACAACCAACCAACCTTCCGTGTGACACATTTGTATTTGTTTGTTAAAAAATAGTTCACGTATCTGTCAACCTTGACAGTAGACACACACTGTATGCCAATATCTGTAACTACGCATGCAGCTCACATGTGCATGCTGTCAAGTATCTTGTACAAAACGATATTGTTAGTGGCTGTACCCTCAAAGGGGATTTAAGTAGCGTAAAATTATTGTCCTCCTGAGAGGGTACGTAAGTCCCGGAAACATTTACCAGCTGTTTTAAATGTAGTATTCTTGTCATTTTAATTTTAGCTGAATTTGACTTCAATCGCCAGCGGCTGAAGGGATCATATGAATCCAACTAGGGTCCATGCAGGTAGCAAAAGTACTGTAAGTCCCCATGGTCCCTAGTTTGGCGATCTACCTTCAGTTGTTGGCGATCTATAGCCAGTTTTTATATTGTTTTGTCCAAATAGTGCTATTAAAGTACTGTCGGAAATGCTAGAAAAATGCTTTTTAGCCTTAATATCTTTAGAAAGGTGATAAATGTATTATGTTGTCAATATATCAACTCACCTATAGTGTACCTAATTTTTATTTCAATTGATTTAACATTCCCATGCATTTAAAGGGCAGTTTACAGGAGAGAATTTGGTACCAACACAGCAACTTAAGATTTTTTCAGATTTCAACAACAGAAATCTGAAATAGTCTTTACATTTATGCTAATAATACAGGTGGTGTAAAAATATAAATTAACGTTTTTCTTAATCAAATAAATGTTGAATGTTTGTGTTACTTTACTTAATTATCGTTTATTTATTGAAGAAATATTAATATAAATGTTAAGTCTTGATAAATATGTTTCCCGTCATGCATGCACATCTTTATCACAGCGTCCACGGCACCCATGAAAGGCCACCTCCTCGTGGTGGGTGCTGGGTCACGCTAAGCGCCTTTCAACCCCCCGTTGGGGACCCGGGGGGGGGGGGGTATTTTGGTCCACCAACCCGTTTGCCGTGGGTTGCGCCCCTGTGTCGGTGGAGGACGGGAGTCTGGTGGTTGAGGGCAAGGGCTCCAGGAACAGCGTTCCTTTGCCCAATACACCACTTCGACCTTTACTTCACCTAGACGGGTGGTAGAACTGGCCCGGTTCTATCAACCGGCTGGTCATGCTAAGCCCTGTACATGTACATTTTGTTGCACCAAATTTGAAATTCTTTAAAACTTTTGTCAGTTGTCTTAGCTTCATTAAAATATATTTGAATCTTGATTGTTCAACTCCAATTTCGTAATTTGCCTTGAGTCCTATGTCCAGAAGGCAGTGGCTCATGGGCCAATCTGGTGGAATAACTCACTTGTTGATTATTCTGCTTGAGTATATCATCCGGGTATCCTTGGTGCTGCAGGCTGGAAACCCGCCTGTTTTAGCATTGTCCTAGTGATACTCCGTGGTGGGTGGGGACCCCGGATGACGAATCAAAATAAACTCAACATGGAATACCAAACCCCAAACAAAAAAACGAAACGTCTACTCGACAATGATGACAACGAACAACGACCCTCGAAATCCATTGATTACTGGCCACGTTTTCTGATTCTTGAGACTCTTGATCAGACTCCTTTAAAGCTGAATCCGTTTGCGATATCCAAGGGTGTCCACGGAATAGCAGGAGAAATCAAAGGCGTGAAACGCTTGCGTTCAGGATCTCTATTGCTCGAATGTAATAGAAAACAGCAAGCAACCAACCTGCTGTCCACTGAAATGTTTGTTGGAATTCCGGTTAAGGTCTCTGCACATAGAACTCTGAACACCAGTAAAGGTATTGTAAGAGATCGAGATCGTCTATTTGCAGATATGACTGAACTTGACATCGTATCAGAAATGAAGGATCAAGGAGTGATATATGTAAAAAGATTTTCAACCCGGAAAATAATGAGACTGTTTCAACTAACACATATCTTTTTCGTTTTCTGCGCCGAATCCACCAAAATCAATCAGAGCAGGTTACTGTAATGTTAACGTTGATTTGTACATCCCCAAACCTCTGCGGTGTTTTAAATGCCAAAAGTATGGACATGGTGTGAACACTTGCACATTGTCTGTTACATGTGCTCACTGTGCTGAGAATACACATGTGACAGAAGATTGTGACAGTAGTTCCAAAAAATGTGCAAACTGCCACGGTAATCATTCAGCCTTTTCTAAGGATTGTCCCATTTGGAAAAAACAGATGGAGATCAACAGAATTAAATTCACCAATAATATCAGTTTTGCTGAAGCTAAAAGTTGACACAGTCAACTGATACTACTGAAACCTATGCAGCCATCGCCAGGAAACCATCAGAAACAGCCCCAAAAGGAAACACTTCAACAGTTATTACTTTGTCACATGCCTGTCAAACAGACTTGACATGGATCAGCACGGACACTCCGGAACTCTTTTCCCCTGAACAGTCAACACAGACCGCAAATTCACTTCCTGATCAGCAGAACCTCTCTCAGCAACAATCTCCTATTTCACTCACTCGAACTCAACCTGAGAAAACTGAAAAACAAACAGGAAAAACAAAAGTCAAACCAAGGTCAGAAACTTCTAGCACAAATAGAGCCCCTAAGGGGTCAGACAAGATCAAATTATGTAATAAGTTTGGGTCATTAGAAGATATGGATGTGTCTGATAACATCCATCCTCGGGCACATAGCTCGTCGCCTTCCAAGAAAGTGCGGGGTAGATCCCCAATCAACCCACCAAAAAGTTAATGTCTTCCAGAAATATAGTACAGTGGAATTGTAGAGGATTAAGAACTAATTTAAATGAGTTACATTTATTAGTTCAAGATCTGGCACCATCATCTTTCTGTCTGCAGGAAACCCATCTGAAACAGACAGATACTTTTAATCTACGTCAGTACGTTGCATATCATTCCTTCTCACCTCTGGGTGATAGAGCCACTGGTGGATCATCAATCCTTGTTAAGCAGAATATTATTCACAGCCCTGTCCCACTTACAACTAATCTTCAAGCCGTTGCAGTGAGACTTACACTTCATGTTGTCTTTACATTATGCTCTCTGTATATTCCGCCTTCTTCAACACTTCGCCTGACTGATCTTCAAGACCTCTGTGATCAACTTCCGAAACCCTGTATTATAATGGGTGATCTTAATGGCCATAATCCACTCTGGGGCGGTACAAATACTAACACTAAAGGTAAAATACTGGAAGATTTTATCTCAAATAATGACATGTGCATATTCAATGATGATTCAAGCACGTACCTGCATCCTGCGACAGGCACCTACTCTTCTCTGGATTTGTCTCTTGCAGACTCAAATCTACTTAATGAATTTGATTGGTCAGTACACAACGACCTCTGTGGAAGTGATCACTTTCCAACGATACTATCAGAAACTTCTCCAACTGATTCTCCATCTTCTACAAGATGGAATTTTTCGAAGGCAGACTGGCCCTTATTTCAAACTTTATGCACATCTAAACTAAGACCCGAATGTTTCAGTGATATTGCTGATCCTATTCAGGTATTTTCTGACGTTTTAAATGTAATAGCTGATGAGTGTATACCAAAGTCCTCTACAACCTCACATGTACGAAAGCCATGGTTTAATGCAGACTGTAAAAATGCTAGAAAAGCGAGGAAAAGGCAGAGAAATATTTCCGCCATCACCCAACTGTCCACAACTTGAATAAATTTAAAATACTGAATGCAAAAGCACGCCGCACCTTCAAACAAAATAAACGGCAATCTTGGAGGAACTATGTCTCCAAAATTAACTCACGAATGCCAATGTCCAAGGTATGGAACATGGTTCAAAGAATTAAAGGCAAAGGTTCAAAATCTGCTGTTCACCATCTTAAAGATGGTACTAATTTAATTACTGACAAATCTCAAATTGCAGATAAAATTGGCGAAACTCTTGCCAAAAATTCTTCATCGGCAAATTATGTCCCTGGGTTTCAGAGATATCAGAAACAACAGGAAAAGACAAA